GTCTGATGCAGGTCACATTTAAAATGTAATGTGAACGTTCACATTTAAAATGTAATGTGAACGTTCACACAAAAAGATCGGATTTTTTCAAAAAATCAGAACTGAGCATTAAGACCTACAGTGTGAACGTAGCCTTAGCTACACCACAACACGCTTAATCTCAATAATTCTTAAAATGGCTAAATCATAGCTTATTTTAAGTTAGTTGTGGTGGCCATCTTGAATTTTTGATTATCTTTTAGAATTTGGTAAAGATTTGACCTTATTTCTACACTAATTTTCAGCTTTGTACGTCTAAAAAAAGGCTGGATATTAAGTTGTGACAAGCATTCAGCATATTTTTTKGACCATTCTTGGTTATAATCCCATGAAATTTCAGCTCAATATTTCTTAAAACAGCTGCGTTAGAAACATTTGGAATTAGCTGTGGCGGCCATCTTGAATCATCAATTACAGAATGTTTTGCTTTATTTGTATTTGCACCCCTGAAAAACACTTTGGAAAAAAGTCGAGCTCCGCTCCTGCTCAGAGAATGTGAGTGCATTTACAAATCTGTTTGAGACTTTTATTGTGATGGATTGAGACTAATTCTGTTAATTATTGTAGCATCCGTTAACTCAATCAGCCTCCAAGCCTTACACAGAGACAGTGTGAAAAAACAAACACACAACAGGAAGCTTCTTACCTCTTTTCCAGACAGGTAGTAGGCAGACAGCAGACCTCCGACAAATCTGATGTTCACCTCAAAAACAGAGATTTCTGCATTCTGTGGCAAAAAGAACAAATGAAGAGCTCATTAACACAAGCCTGCTCCTGCCTATCAACATTTATATCTGATATAATTTCAGCTGTACTCGTAGCACCAGTCCCATGATGAGAGTAAGAGCTGCTGACTGCAGTGAAATATTTCTGAGGCTCACATGTAATCATGTTACTGGACAGAAAAGGCCTTCTGAGACTCTTTACCTGGAATCAGACACATATCGATCAGTAATAAATCCTGCTCCTTCACTACCAGTTTTTAGATTTATTTTGTTACAAGCGAACATTTCATCTAGTGACATTTTAATTGGTCTAAAATCAAAAACCAAGGCATAAGAATCTATTTTTGCCTCAGATAAAGTGGATAAAACTTGAAAACCAATGTTTGTGTGGCATCTTGTAGGATTTAGTTCTTATTCCTGCAGTGATCAAGTTAGACTCTTACATCATCTGCTGTTATCATCCATTAAATGGACGTTATTAGCCGTTATCAGTCCCACAGAATGGCTTCAGACTGTCAGCTGGTTARWATGAGGCATAAAACCACTAAGGTTAGTTTTAGAGAAAATGACATGGGCTACGATAAAGTAGATTGTTGCAGTCCAACGTATATGGCACTGGTAACCCACTAGGGGGCACTGTCAGGACAGTCTGAAGCCATTCTATGGGACTGAYAACCGCTAACAACGTCCATTTAATAGATGATAACATCCAAACCGGCTGTATAAACATGACTTTCATAGGAAAGTCTGTAAGACGACATGAAGCAACACAGATCCCACATTATGGCAGCATTTATTTTATTCTTAGAATAGCTTTTCCAAATCGGTGGCCTCAGGATTCAATCTCTGCTGATAGCAGATGGTGTGGTCCTGTTAGTGTCATCGCGTCGTGATCACCAGCTCTCACTGGAGCGGTTCAGCACCTCCAAAACCGAGTCCATGGTCCTCAGTCRGAAAAGGCTGGACTGCTCTCTCCGGGTTGGAGGTTCTAGGTTCTTGTGGAGGAGCTGAAGTATCCTGGGGTCTTGTCCAGGAGCGAGGGAAGAATGGAGCGTGTGATTAGACGTATCAGAGCAGCTCTGTACTGGTCTGTTGTGGTGATGAGGGAGCTGAGTTGTGAGGCTGAACTCTATTTACCTGTCGGTCACCGCTCCTACCATCATCGAAAGAACAAAATCGTGGATGGAGGTGATCAAAATGAGTTTACTTCACAGTGTAGCTGAACWCTCCCTTAAAGATAGGATGAGAAGTTTGGTTATCYGKGAGARACTCATTAGAGCCRCTGCTCCTCCACATCGACAGGAGCCAGTTGAGGAGGTTCATCTAGTAAAGAATCCTTCCAGAATAACTGGAAGAGGTCACTGGATGGATAAAGATCCCACAGAACGGTGAATTTGCTTTGTCCTATGTTATTCTATAACAAAATATTGATTTATTTCTTCAGTGGTCACCACAGAGAGCGAACTTCTCACCACAGATTTAGCAAATGTTTGACTCCAGATGCTTTTTCTGATGCAACCTGGGCTCCAACCTGCAGCCTCAGATAAGTCCATGATCCTAATTACCGAGGCGAACAAAGCTCTGCCCTATAAGGCAGAGAAAAACTCCAACTGCGACAAAAAAAATGGCACATATAAACAAAAAATTCTAACTTTGTCATGCTGTTCGTTTAAGGAGAAACAATAGAGTTTATCTCTGTTACACACAAATTTGTTTTGCGAAGGGATTTTGGAGTGTGATGAAGTTCTGCAGCTTGACTGACAGCTCCTGTAAGTCGCTGCTGCCAAACAGAGATAGGACAACGGGCTGGTTGGTGAAAAAACAAATCATCTCCTGCTTCTTTTTGTTTTGTTCCCCCCAACAAGTAGGAAAGACTAAATAAATAAGCGGATTGTCTGGGTAATATGTCTTGATTAAAAGTGCGTTCCTTCCTGCACCACACTCTGGTTGTGGTAATAGAAGAGGAGAATATCTGAATTAACGTTGATGGTTTCCTGCAGTCATTCTGCACCAGCAGACATCACTGCTTTAAACTGCAGGACAATGACCCCATGAGTCAGCATTTCCCTGACATTATTTCACTCCTGCCGGCAGCAGAGTCTCCTGATGTTGCAACATTTGGGTCCTTACAGACCACACAGGAAACTGAGTGAGCAGGGCCTTTTCCAAGCAGAGAGCCAACTGACGACTACAGAAAATAAAACCACCTAAAACACAATGAATCAAACGTGGATCGAATGAGAAATCTTTTGTGGGAAAAACAATTTGACTGGGTGAAACTGGCACAATGTCCTACACCGCAAAACCTGTCCATCTTACCAAGTTTTAAAACCTTATATCAGCCAAAAAGTCTTTTTGATCTCGTTTTCAGACTGATTTACTAAACAAGAACTGATTGTGTAAGAAT